GGATTCAAATATAGAGGCCAGACCACTGTTAGTATGACTTCACACAAATTACCTAATCTGTCTGTGTCCTCAGTTTCTCTGTCTGTACAATCAGGGAAGAAAACAGCCTTTAACCTCACTTTGACTCAATACATGTCAAAACTTCAATAAGAACCACAGAAATGTTTATTTTTATTATTTACCTGGAAAATGGGCTTATAAAAATGAACAATGGGCCAGCTGCAACACTCGGGAAAGCAGGCCCTGCCTCTCATCTGTCAGCACAGCAGAGCTGACCCTGTTGACAGGGGCGAGGGTGAGCTGGCCCAGAGAATGTGAGTGTGAGAGATCTGACCCTGCTCCTCATCTGCCATATGGCAACATGGGCAGCAGGAGATGCCCCTCCCCGCTCTACTGGGAGAGCTGGCTCTGAGTTCATAAGAGTGGGAGAACTGTCCCTGCCCCTCAGCAGCTGCAGCACTTGGGACAGTGGCCCCTGCACCTCTCCTGGGCAACACAGTATAGCTGACTCTGGAGGTGTAGGTGTGAAAGCAGGAGAACTGGCCCCAACTCTTGCTCATTGCTTTAAGGGATGAACTGGCCAGGGCAAAGCTGGAGAGCTTCTGGTTGTGAAGACCAGGGAGAGCTGTCAGGCTGACCAGCCCTCCAACTACCCAGGATTATGAGTTGACTCACCCCAACATCCACCCTATCTGTGATCTGCTGGATCGTGTGAAGGGGCCTGTCCTGCAGACCCAAAGCTGCAGGATCTCCATGACTCAGGGCAGCAGCAGGATAGCCAAGAAGAGGGAGGACCCAGCATCAATAGTGTAGCAGAAATGAGAGGCCTCAAACCACACTAATGACTCTTTGCAATGAACGCTTACAAGTAAAGATACATGTGTAAAAGTTGTGAATATGGATATAGTGTGACTCACTGTGACACACTACAGCTTCCGTGATGAGCCTGATTTTTTTTCTCTTAAATTTTATTGTATTTTGGCAGTGGAGGAGGTTACAAGGGCAGAGGACTGATACGAAGGGACGGGGAATGAATGGGATCGAGATGCGTGGTGTGAAAGAAACAGAAAACAAAAAGAAAGTTAAAAAAAAAGAAAGAAAGGAGCACTGGGGATCGGGAAGTTTCTAGAGCACTTGCCCAGCCAGCATGAAGCCCTAGGTTCAGTCCTCAGCACCAAACAAACTGGATGTGGTGGTGCACACCAGCGATCCGAGCTCTCAGTAGGTTGAGGCAGAAGGATCAGGAGTTCAAGGCCGTCCTCAACTACTAACCAAATTCCTAGGCCAGTCTGGATTTAAGAGACCTTTTTTTTTAATTATTTAAAAAAACATCAAATAAACATTGTTAACCTTCCGATAAAAATTGCTGAGTGCAGAGAGTGGCCCTGTCCCTTCTGTGACCTCAAGCCCTAGCTCTCTTGGGGACTGTTGCTGCTTGTGGAGGAACACTCACAAAGACAGCTTCTTCCTGCTGGGTGACCACTGGGGACTTGAGTTTCCTGAATATTTTTCTGCCCAGCCCCACAGATCACAAGCTCCTTGAGGGCTTTGCCCTAAGGCTGACTCCCTAATGCCAAGGGTTTAACCTCAATTAGATACACTGCAAAGGCACTGTTTTCATGCCTGGCCCCACAGTTGACTCAATAGTCTATGACTGACAATGTTCCTTCCCCATATTTGCCAGATCCAAGGGGGAATCCCAAAGGACTGCAGTGGGTGGGAGTTGATGCCCAGACTCAGCCTCTGGAGATCCATTTGAAAGTCTGGGTGGATCCCTGGAATCTGTACCCTGCTCCTGGTGATCATTTAGTGAACACTGTTAATGGGCATGACCTGTGGTTCCCACATCCTCTCCTTTGAACCGGAGGCCTCCTCCCTCTCTATCCCATGCTGCTGGCTGCGAGGTTTTTCTGGGCTGGGTTCTCAGCCGCAGCCCTGAACTGGAAAGGATGGGGGAACCCAAGAAATGGATGGAACCTCATTGGTATGCAAGGCTCTCTTGTCACATTGCCACTAATAGGAGCAGAAGAAGGGCTGGCACATCTCTTTGGGATTTTCCATTCCTCCTGGCTTTTCCGGAATTGGCTGGACACCAGTTTGCCAAGGGGATCAAGGACAATACAGGGGCCCCAAGGCGTCTGCCTATTGACACCTCTCAAGTGGAAAATGGATCCTTCTAGCAGCTCTGCTGAGTTCTTCCCTCCCTCACTCCCATCGCCTACCACCTCAGCCTCCTTTTGCAGAGCACACGCCTTTACAGGGCTAAGACCCCTTCTAATACAGACTGATTGACTAGGGTGGAGCCTCACTGTGTTGGGCCTTAAGCAGCCCTCTGCACCTTACCTTCCCTAGTAGCTGAGATGGAGGTGTGGGCCGCTGCATCCAAGAATTCTGTTTAACTCTTAGCAAAGTACTCTTTGCTAAAAAGATACATAAGGTAAAACATGGGCTTCGGTGGTCATCCTCAGCCCAGGCCACACTCCTGCACCCTAGCAGTGCTCAGAGCTTCTGCTCAGGTGGGGGCTGGGCATTCCCAGTAGGCTTATGTGGTGGTTAATATTTTAAGTCTTATTTCCTCATTGATGTATGGCAGGTGAGAATTAGTTCAAGCAACCAATAATGTACATTTCCAGTCGTTTATTGTGGCTTTGTGATTTCAAGTAGACTATGTACCATCATTGTTTTTTTTTTACTTTTAGAGATGGGTGGTGATATAACACATGGTATATAGAGTGAGCATCCTGTAGCCACCAACCGGAGTTGGATACTGTCAACACTCTTCCTTCTTTTTTTTTTTTTTGAGACATGATTTTGTTATGTAGCCCAGGCAACCCTTCAACTTGTGATCTTTCTGCTCCCACCTCCTGATTGATGGGATTATAGGTGTGTACATCACCAAGTCTGGCTCAAAGTCAACACCTTCGAGTTTCTTCCTTGGACAGTGAAGCCACGTGACTGACTCTTTGGGTACTCTCGCTGTGTTTCCTCCCTGCCATGCAACTACCCTGCACTATCATTAGACTAATTGTGAGCTGGAGCATAGAGCCGTGGTTCACTCATGCTCTCCGCTGTAGAATCACTCACTGCTCAGAGAGAGCAGTGTTCTCCTGTGTGCTGACAGTCATTTTCTGTCTTCAGCTGCTGGAGACGGCATTTACTTAGTTAATTTTGCTTTGTGTGTGTGTGTGTGTGTGTGTGTGTGTGTGTGTGTGTGTGTTCATGTGGGGGCCTGATCACTCTGTACTTTAATTGAGGAGGGTCTTTCACTGAACCTGGAGGTCCAGCCTAGTCAACCTCCATTGCTGCTGTCTGCTACCAAGCCCACCTGGCTTTCATGTGGGTGCAGGGGATCCAAATTCTGGTCATCACACTTATTGAACAAGTGTTTTAACCACTGAGCAATCTCCCCAGCCCCATGCCATGAGCAATTAAATTCTCATCTAGTGGATCATGCATGCAGGGCCTTCAGCACAGAACACAGATGTGGTTTCATCTGTATTTATCGTGAGCTTCGCTCTCCTATACTGACACACTTTCCTAGTAAGCTTGCCCATCTAGAAGAGATTGCTGTCTGTGTAGGCAGGGTCAGGAATGGGGTTGGTCCAGGCTCCCCAGATGACTCCACTGTGAAGCCACAATCTACCTTTACTTTCATCCCTTCGACTCTAGACACTGTCACTCGGCTGTCTGTTTTGAAGAAACATCCATGTCCTGTCCCCTCAGGCCTCAAAGTGTCTGTGTGATGCTTTGAAAAAAGTGAGCCCCAACCCCCAGCAAGGCCAAAGTGTTGGGAGTAAAGAGGCAGAGCAGGATGGGCGGTGCTAGTTAGAACCAGGGACAGAGGCACACAGGTAAATTCTTCAGGTATGACAGGGAATTTTAAGGAAACCCTGGGGCTGGGAATCCTTCCCAGAGGCCAAGACTTCCCCACTGCTAACAGCCTCCATGCTCGCCTGACAGGTGTAGATCAGTTTAATGGGGGACTGACAGGAGCACCATGATGCATCAAGCTGAGAGGAATTCTAGACTCTGAGGGTCACATAGTCATGTTTCTTTAAAGTGATTACAACCGTAACCGTAGTCTGTTTTCATCTCTAATTGAACATTAATGGCACACTAGTGAATACAGATACCTGGGTCCCAGGCCAATGACAGCACATCTTCTGGAGCGAGGACCAGACACTAATAATCTTTGGGAAATGACCTTGTGGTTCTTACATGGAGTCAGGGTATAGAACCTGTTGGTTGTGGGTCTGACACCTGTGACTGGCAACCATCAGTCACTTGGAGAGCTTGTTAAAATGTGGGTCCCTGGGTTCCTCTCTCTATGTATCTGGATTAGGGCTTTACCTTAGTTTGGTTTCCTATTATTATGATAAAGTACCCAACAAAAGTAACTTAGGGCAGGAGGATTTACTTCAGCTCACAGTTTCAAGTCATAGTCCACTGTTGCTGGGAGGTCACAGTGGCAGGAGCCTGAAAAAGCTGGTCACATTTCAAGAGCAGAGAGCAATGCATGCATGTCTGCTAGAGCCTGCTGTCTTTTTCCATTCAGTCCAGGGCTCAGCCCATGAAATAGCATTGTTCACACTCAGGGTATATCTTCCTACTTTAATCAACCCAGTTTAGCTCTCAAAGGAATGTCCAAAGTCCAACTTAATCTAGACAATCCCTATTGAAATTCCTTTCCCAGTGTGCAGATTATGTCAAGTTGACAAGTAAAACCATCACAGGCCTTGAATTTGTGATTCTAACAGCCATCTCCACTGGACATCCCTTGTTCACGCTTGAGAACCATCTCAAGTTCCACTTGATGCTGCTCAAGGTCGCCTTGTGAGTCCCAAAGGAGATCCAGTGCGGTCCTGTTGTGTGGGATTATTGCTTCTCTTCCCATCTCCATGGTCACCAAGTCGGTGGCCTGAAATGGGCACTAACCCTGGCAGATGCTCTAGATGAAGACCTTTCCCAGCACCCAATCAGCCATGATTTGTACATTCCAGGCTTTCGTGTGCCAGAGGGTGTGGGAGGACAGGGGCTACTGAGAAAAATGCAGAGCATCCCTGGCTTTGAAGGACCAGTGCCATTGCTAATGGGTTCTAGAATCCTAGATGCATGTAGCATCTTCATGCAGCTGTACAGCCAACAAAAGAGGTACATCTGTGCATGTGATAGAATTTAAATTATGTGTCTATGTGTGTGCATGGAATGTATGAAGTTCGGAGAACTATTTTCAGGACTTGGTTCTGTCCTTACACCCTGTGGGTCCTGGGTGCAGAACAAAGGTTGTCAATAAGGCTTGGAAGAAAATGCCTTATTTATGCACTGAACAGCCAACAAAAGAGGCCCCATCTGTATTTTTTTTCTTACAGGCTCCCAATATTCAAAATATTCTGGTTATTGTTAATACAGGGTGAGAATCCCTTATGATGGCACACATCTTTAATCCCAGCCATTGAGAGACAGAGGCAGACAGGTCCTTGATTTGAAAGCTAACTTGGACTACATGGCAAGTTTCAGGCCAGTCAAGGTTACATAGTAAGACCCTGTCTCAAAGAAAAAGAGGAGAGAGAGGTCAGGGGAGACAGAAACACCTGATTCGGATTTCAGAATGCTTGCATTTAGGTTTTATATTTACTTATATAGTATGAACATGATTTTATAGAATTTAAAAAAATAATTCTGTGCAGTTCAGAGTTAAGATATGTGGAATTTTCCATCTGTGGCATCAGGTCAGTGTTCAGAAAGTGCTGGTTTTGGGGCTTGTTCTAGATTTCAGATTTGCAGGTTTAGGCATGCCCAATTGTATAATTATTAATAGTTGGAAAAACCAGATCATCACAGGACTGAAACAGAGGAAAGGATTCGGGGGACCCTTGATTCCAGGTTACCTTTTAGTCCTGGCACCTGGGGAGATTTCTGCCTAGCCAAGGTGGACCGGGAGGCGGGGATGAACTAACGGAACCTGCCCTGGCACCTGTCCCAGCAAGTCCCCATGAAGGAGCTCAAGGACTGGGCTGATCTTAGAAGAACCCTGAGCTCTAGGAAAGCATTCACACCACTGCCATTGAGAAATGACCCATCGTGGTGACCACTGTAGGCCTCACCTTATGCTCATGTCTGGTGGCGTATATCCTAAGGTTGAAACCTATGCACTAAGGTCCAGTCCAAACCCCGGTTCCTGTTAGAACCACAATGCACTTCACAAGCCAGGACGCAGGAACACTCAAGAATAATCTTTCAAGAAGGCATTAACACAGGAGGGAAGTGACTAGAAGCAAAGACATTTGACTGAAGGTCAAAGGGGAGATGGCTCAGTGGTAAAGTGCACACTCTGTTGGTACGGGGACCTGGGTTCGATTCTCAGAACCCACGTAACAAACTGTAGACCAGTGGGATTGTTCTTGTAGTCCCAGAAGATCCGTGGGGCTTTCCAGCTAGCCAGCTTTGCCTTCCCCATGAGTCCTAGGCCGATGAGAGACCCTGTCTTAGAAAACAAGGTGGTGGCATCTGAAGATGATAGCTGAGGTTGGCCTCTGGCCTCCAAGGCATGTGCACACATGTGCACCCTGAGGCACACACACTGAAGGTCTTTGCAGTGGGGATATAGTTCAGTGATGGAGTGCTTACTTGTGGATGCATGAAGCCAGCCCTGGGCTCCATCCCAGCACCACCAAACTATATTAAGTAATAATACATTTTTAAGAGTTCTCTCCGAAAGATTTCCCCCCATCCAGGGGCTGGTTCTCCATATTTATTTGAGGACAGCCTCTTACCTCTTGGGATTAATTTCTCCTACACAGAGTGCTATGTTCTGGGTCCAGCTAACTCCCCTTCAATGAAATGGTACCAGGTAATAGGCTGGGTTGAGTCTGTTATCTTTAGTACAACTTCCCTTCTGGACTCTAACCCACAATGCACCCCATTCACCTTTTTTTTTTTTCTGAACTCTAAACTGCTTCAAGCCTTCAGGTGATGTCCCGGAACACAACAGACCATTTTCCTCCCAGAGGGGCCAGAACCATGGCAGGGGCTCTGTGGGGTTTGTTGTAAATGACCCTGTCCACACACGACAGGTCTGTCTGGATGTGCAAACTGACCCTCTTTCTCTCTCCTCTCTCTGCAGTGAAATGTAAAATGGAGGACGAGGAGGTGCCTGCTGCCCCAGTGCCACCTCCTTAACTGACCTCAGTCACTCCACACCCAACTGCACATCCCTATTACAGTTTCCTTGTGAAGCCCTCGCATGGCAGACACACAGGCCGGGCTTGCTGCAGACATGCTTAACTGCAGTTTAGGAAAGCATCCCTTAGCTTCCTGCCTTACCCCAAATGCTACTTTTCCATTCGCTTTTCCACTGTGTCAAGTGTACCCTTCTGAGCCACCAAAGTTGAAACACGCAGTGATGGTGTCCCTGTCACCAGTTTTCCCACTTCTACCAAGATCCGTATTTGTTTTATGTCAAATCTCTGTGATAGTTCTGCCTTGGTTTTGCCGTTGATTAACAAATGAGGCAAGGCTGTTACAGCAGCAACCTATTAATGTAATGGTCGTTTGTTCTGTGGCTGCTGCACACCAAGGTTCTCTCATTCGAAAGGTCCCAGACACAGCTGGCAGCCTCTGTGGTAATACTGGACTGTTTGACAAGCTACCACGAATCTTAGGTAAATAGTAAAGCCTTTATTTTCTTGTTAAGAACAGCATTTTGAAAATAAAACCTATCTGCCCATGCTTAACAACCTTTGCAATCTTTGATATTTATATGTATGTACTGATTGTCTTGAAATTTCCCAAACAATTTTGTTTATAAGTATGCAAGTCAGCCAGGGTGGGGGATAGAGTGAGGGTACATTATAAAACACACATTAATACATTTAATAAATATATATTATCTATCAAAAATGAGCATAGTTCTTTATGAATAAAAAGCACCTGCCAGGGGCTCTCGTCGGCTCACACGGTTGCCACATCCTTGGATGTGTAAATACCAGCGCCCCCTTCTACTTTCCAACTCGGCAAGCCCAAAAGACAACCCCTCTCATCCTGTCTGCACACTTGTTTGCTGGCTTTGACCTCATCTGTGTGGAGATAGGGGGGGACAACAACCAGATCTAACCTTGGAAACAACTGACACATCAGAGCCTATCCCCACTTCCATTGCCCGACACCTTGGCAAAGGGCCACAGAATACTGTAGAGTTTTCACTTAGCTGTGAACAGAGGAGCTGTCCTTCAGTCCCAAAATGGTGTCACTACCTGGGCATGCTAGGTTGTGCTTACAGCTTGGGGTTATTCACAGAGGACTTTGTAGACCATCTCCCCTATCAACTCTTAAACAGGTGCCATGGGATTCTGTCGGAAGCTGGCTGTACAGTCTCTGTGTGGAGTTGCCTCGTGGTCCTCTTCAGATGAACTTGAACTCATTAGAAAAATAGCAGATGTCGTCCTTCTTCTTTTGCTCCCACCTCCACCCCTGTCTAAGAACATCGAGCCCACCCTGAACCTCAAATTAGCCAAGATAAAACAAAGCCCAGAAGCGCGCGATCACCTATCAGGATGGAAAGAAAAACAAAACAAAACAAAACAAAAAACAAAGCAAAACCGAAAGGCCTCACTTAGTGAGGTTTCCTGTGGCTCAGAATGGTTCTGGTTTATAGTGTAGAAACACTGCATTCTGCACAGCCATTTGCACGGTGCTCACCTGATACGCAGACAACAAAGAGCTTAGAGAGAAAACCATCAATCATGTCAGCTTCTCCCTTCTGCAATGGGGGGCTTTTGCAGACCAAGTCACTGGTGACATCAGAAAGCTCCAAAGGACTCCAGAGAGCGGGGTTGGGCAGCCACTTCCTGGCACAAGAATGCGGAGCGCTGACGTTTGTCACCCAACTGGCCTGAGGTGCTAGGAGAGCTCTTCTGCAGAAGGCTGGGTAGTGCATGCAAGAGCGCCAGCCCCACGCAGCCCTGGCTTTCTCGCTCTCCAACCCCTCCTCAAGCTTCTAAGGTCTCAGCCCACCGCATGAAGGTCCTTAAGCATGAAGGACTGATTCAAATTCTCTGGAAGCAAGCACATGCTCTCAGTGGGGGTGGGGCACCCCAGAAGGCTGGGAAGGGGAGGCCTTTGGGTGCCCTGCTTTCTGCTTCCCATGCGTGGTGGTGATGCACTAGCTGCGAGGAAAACTTGCGGGAGAGCCAAGCACTAGCCAGATTGGCCTCATCTCCCCAAGGCTCTGCAAAGGCAGGGCAGGGAGGGGATACCAGCAGAGACTGGGGTCTTGAGAAAAATCAGATTTATTAAAACACTCAGCTCAGATGTACTGGCTTAAGAAGAGGTCAGTCCCCACCCCCACCCCCAAATACTAACCATTAAAATTTGCTTTCATTAAAGGTTAAAGGCTTATGGGTAGTTTTCATAGAAAAAGCAATGTAGTGATTAGAGTGTATGTAGAGGCCCCACCTTTGTTTATACAGTCCATATGGTCAGGTTCAAACTCTTAGCATGGAAAGGTTGCTAGAGATTATCCTGGCCAAACAGTGCAGAGAACACAGGGCTTTTAATGGCAGGGATGCTGGAGATGCTGAGCGACAAAGGAATGACTTGCTTAGGACAGATGGAAGCCATGACAAATGACGGCTGTGAAGAGGGCCATTTTCATAGAACCATCAGAAAACCAAGGTTAAAATGTTCTCTAAACCCTCCGAAAACAGCAAGAGACCTTCATGGAACTCTTTCTATCCTGGACTTCTAGCCACATCAGGGGAAGACACCCCCAAGAAGTCACTGCTGGACAGGGAGAAGTCATCTCTCCCTTCTAGAGGTCACTCCTGGGGAGCTCAGCCATAGGGCGTTATGAAAAAGCTGCTATGGTGCCTGCCTTTCAGCCTGACTCCCCTGAAGCTGCAAGCTGATGGCCCTATCTGAGCTTCAGAAATGAACACGGAAGGAAATCGAGGGAGGGCAGGTGCAGCAAGAGGAAGAAGGGAGGCGGGGTGCTTGTCAGAACAAGAGGCCCGTAGACGGAACAGTGGTTGGTCACCACTGTCTAGATGGGATGGTCACTTCAAGGTCCAGAGTACCTTCTCCTCTTTGGCACATTCTGTGTTTCCTCTACTCCCACCAGCTACACAGCTCCCTGACTGCCCAGTTGGGCCTTACTTTGGAATCACAGCCACAGCCTCCTAAAGTCCCCTGAACTGCACAGGCCACCAGAGCAAGCGAGCCAGGGAGAAGGGCCCATGAGTTAACCTCAAGGGCACAGTTATCTCCAAAAGTCCTCCCTGGGAGCCAGCACTTGGGGAGGGGGTGACAGGCTGGCTCCAGCCCCTCACATAAGCCAGCATCAGCCTGGCACACCAGCTGTGAATTCTTTTCTGTCCTGACCCCTCTGGATGCAACAGTTTCCCAGCCACGCTTCTCTGAGTGAGCCTAAGACTATTGGCAGTTAGCTCTGATTTAGTTTGCAGGACGATTCCATGTTTGTGTGTGTGTGGCAGGATAGGGGAGGGCAGTCACTGTTAGCTTTCCAGTTCATCCGTATGTCACATTTACATGAAATCCCCTTGGTGGGAATTCCCAGATATCCTGGCTTCCAGGGGGCCTGTCTCGGCCATGGTTATGGATTTCGCCCTCAAGAAAGACACAGCCAGGGAATAAAATCGGTAAGAAAGATTCTTATTCTCTGGAACTTAAGGTCTTTCACCAATGGTGTCTTCCTGTGTGAGATGGCGGAGCAGTTGGGATCTGGAATAACATAAGGACAACACTGAGAACTCTGCAAAGTCAACGTTAGAAACTGATGCATCAATCGCCCTCGCTTTTACCTGTGGGGTCTGTGGGACTGAGACAGCCCAGAAATGTACCAGAGGTTCATGTCACCCACCCTCAGGGACATACTCCTCACTCAGACACTCAGTGCTTTAAGGAGTGAGGAGGATGGGACTTGCCTTGGGCATGCTACACAAGGGTCCTACTGTTGAGACCCTACAGCAGCACCTGGTAAGTCCTCTGTTTCCTTCTCGTCACTGGCCTTGAAGGAACCAGGAGGACTTCAGAGTGATGGACAGGCTGTGCTGATTACAGCACATGGGATGGCCCCTCTGGAGACCAGTGGTCACAGTGAAGTCAGGCTTTTCTTGGCCCTGGGACAAAGAAACAGCCCAGGAGGTGGTAGGGGGGATTTAAGAACACAAATCTGTGTTTCTTTTTGTCTTACAGTCTGTTCAAAGCAAAGGGAACCAGAGCCTAGCAGAGCCTTCACAGGCCAGAAAACCCAAATGCTCTCCCTCCAGGGATCAAAGACCATTCCATTCCTGATGGTCTATTAAAAAAGAAAAAAAAAAAAAGCTCAGGTTGAATTATGGAGTTGGCACAAAATAAAGAATGGAAATCAAATGTGCACATGTGAACTGGCCCATGCACTGTTTCTAAGAAGCAGAGCTATGTCTGGAAAGTAGACGTGGGGATGAGTGCCTGTTTGGACTTTGCTGGAATGAAACAGTCATTCCAACAGAGACAAAAAGCAAAAGGTGACACTTTCTGCTGCAGGTCTGTTTGGCGACAGATAAGTTACAGCTGCTCTGGTGTTTGAGGGAAACAATTTCAATTTCCTAGGATGTCTCTTAGGGAGGTGAGGTGGGGGGAACCTGGTACCCAGCTGGGGGTGCTGGATGGAGTAGGGCCCAGGGGGCTTAAGCTAGGGTGGATGTCAGCAAAGATGAGAACATCCCGACAGGAAGCTTTTCCTTAGAGTCACCTTCCTGGGAGAGGGTGGGCACTGTGCTCAAGAAAGAAAATCCACCAGGCAAAGGGCCCCAAGCTGCTTTCTGAGTGTGGGTGGGTTTTCCTCACGTGAAGAGAGGTGGTAGATGGGGCCAGACAAAGATGGAAGGTGTGCATGCATGGAGCTGCAGTGGGCAGCCCAGAGAAGCAGCCTCCCAGGTACACCCAGCTGAAGCTGCCCCACCTGGGCGCTCTCAGGCCTTCTGCCCAGACATCATGTTTTGATACTTACAGTCCCGCCATTGAGTACGACAGCCATCTCCGTCGGCTGATACACATTGCTTCTGAATGGGGCACTGGGTCGGCTTCCCAGGCTGCTGGGCTTCTTTCCCAGGCTGCCACTGGATCTTTTCCCCAAGCTTCCATTGGAAAAGCCCGCTGCTGCTCGGAGAGCTGAGGAAGGAGTTTCCAAGATGGCAACGCCAGAGAGAACAGGGGGAAAAGGAGGGGAGAGAGTTGGGGGGAGGGAAACAGAGGGATAAGAGGTAGATGGGGGAGGAAGGGAGAGGGAGAAAGGTGGGGAGGAAGAGAATTTTGTTTTTCTGCAACAACCAGCTCCTCCCCTCTGGGCACCTCTATCTACCCACCACAGTGACTCCTCCTCTTTGTCACAAGCCCGGTGCAGAACAAAAGTCACAAAGGGGCTTTGTTCTCCAGCCTCAGGAGGGTTTGGGAACTTTGTGGAACCCTGCTCTCCCCACACAGCTACAGCCAGGCTGGGTGGCGGTCACCTCTGGGCTGTCAGGCTTCTTTTGCACATATGTACAGGTCTGTATGCACCATACCAGTCAAAAGCAGTCACTGTTTCTGGATGCTGCAGAGCTGGGGGCAGCTGAAAACATACAGGACAGCGATTGCCATCAGTGGAAAATGACCCTCAAATGACCCCCAAATAGGAATCAAAGATCCAGAGGAGGAGGAATGATTGCAAAAAGAGTTGGTACTCTATCCCTGAAGTAGGTACAGGATGTTTGTGAGTTACTGTCCTTTTTAAAGACAGCACCTAAGGTAGCCCAGGCTGGCCTCAGACTCATTCTGAAGCCAAGAATGGTCTTGAACTTCCAATCCTCTAATGCCACATGCCAAGTGCTGGGTCCACATGCAGCTAGTTAGTGTTCTCCCTCTCCTCTCCTCTCTTCTCCCCTTCCCTCCCCTCCCCTCTCCTCCTCTCCTCTCCCCCTCCCTCCCTCTGTGTGTGTGTGTGTGTGTGTGTGTGTGTATGTGTGTGTGTGTGCAAGCGTGTATGTACGCACGTTTGAGCAGGTATCCTCAGAGTTCAAGAAGGGTGTTGGAGGTTATGAGCTACCTGATGTGGGTACTGGGAAAAAGGTTCAGATTCTTTAGAAGAGCACTGACATTTTTAGCTACACTCCAGCACATGCCTTGTTTTCTGAGGCAGTGTCTCACTGCCTAGGCTGGCTGGCCAGGGAGTCCCAGGGATCCACCTGTCTCTACCTCCCCAGCTCTGGGATTACAAGTGAGCTGAGCATCACACACCGGTGCAAGGGATACAGCCCAAATCTTCCTGCCTGCACAGCAAGCACTTTCCCCAACTACGTCATCTCCCAGCCCCAGGTTGTTGCATTTCTAAGAAATTACGCTTCCCCCTTTCAAATAGAGGAAAACCAACTTGAAGGGCCATGAAGAACCTCAGGTATGTGCTTGTGAATGAAAGGAGCCAGACTGTGAGGGCTTCTCACACCTTGCCAATGACAAGCTGGAAAGGGCAGGCTGTTTGTGGGGATCAGGGGCTGAGTGGGGAGGAATGGAGAGGGGGCAAGAGGAACATTTCAGGATAGTGAGACCGCCTGTGTGACAGTACAAGGTGGATACAGGTCACAGTGCATTTGTCAGGGTTCACCCAATTACTCACTAATTAAAATGTGGTCTTTGACTCAGGAGTGGAGCACTTGCTAAGCGTCCCTGAGGCCTTAGGCTCCACCCTCAGCACCCCCACAAGATGGAAATTTTAACTGTAAGATGACATCTGCAGTGCCACTGAAAGTACTCACGTTGCTTAGCTAAAGAAAGGCTTTACTGAGTGGTGGTGGCACACGCCTTTAATCCCAGCCCTTGGGAGGCAGAGGCAGGTGGATCTCTGTGAGTTCGAGGCCAGGCTGGTCTACAGAGCGAGTTCCAGGATAGCCTCCAAAACAATACAGAGAAACCCTGTCTCGAAAAAACAAACAATCAAACAAACAAAAAAAAGCTTTACTTAAAAGTCTTCCCTGAGGAAATGCAGGAAGACAGCTTGGGAGCTATGCAACCTATTTGGGGCAGGAATCATAAGTACCTTAGAGCCAAGCTGTGAAGTGACATGTGGAGGGTCAGTTTTCATAGCATAGCAGATGCTATGATTTCCTTTACAACAGATAAGGGCTAAGGACTAAGGCCAAGGTCACACAGCTGGCAGAGCCCACTCTGGAAGCCTGGTAGAGACAGGCTGCTCCTAACCATGACACCAGTTCCAGATGCTCTGTCAACCATCACAGTCAAATCAAGCAAGCTGTATTAAGTCACATTAGGGATAGTTCATCCTAAACTGGACCAAAAAATCTGAGTCCAACACAGACTCACGAAGCCTTTCTTGTTTTGGCATCTCCAAGGCTTGGGCAATTGTTGCTTATGCTGAGGGCATGTCCCTGCCTGGGGAGCAGCACAGGGACAGCTAAACACAAAGTTTTGCTAGTGTCAGTTCCTGCTCTACAAGAGCGAAGAGAAGCACTTCCCTGCTGTGCAGAACCCAGTCCGGGTGGACTTCACTTCAACACACCTTCTTCAGAGAAAACCAAAGCTCCACTCTCTCGCTACCCATGGTCCCTTAGTTCCTCCCTGTGCAAGCTATCAGTGGTTTTATGAGCTCATCTCTGGCATTCTAGGTCCCTCAGAATGGGCTTCAGGATCCAACTTGTGACAGGCCTGACCAATCATGGAATTGCATCTTTGAGAACACACTGGTTCAGGGAAGGGCATTCAGAGCCAATCAGAAATAACTCTGGGATTTTCTCAAGCCTTCTGGAAAGAATTTTCCCCCCCTGGGATTCTGAGCAAGCCCAGAGCTACTGGGGACAGTGATGCCTCCATCAAGAGATAGGGAGGAGTTGAGTTTAGTCATTACTTTTGAATCTAGCCCTCCTGAAGCCTGCTATCTCAGGCATTTGGGATTTTCACTTACTTGTTTGAATAATTAAGCATTCAAATTTTATTTTAAAAAAACTGCTAGTAACCAATCTCAGAGGCCTTTGACTACTTTCAGAGCTGACCCTATCCAACTCACAGCAGAGGTGAAGGACAGGCAGTATTATTCCTAAGTGAGTACCCAGAGGTGTAAACTCATTGGTCAAATGCCAGTTATTTCTGGTGTAGGACCAGCAAGTGAGGCCAAGTTAGCCGTGCTTTCCCCTATGCTTCACTAGGGCTCTCCAGCAGTAAACAAAATCTCTAAGAAGCCTTGGGCTCCAATAAGACCTTAGAATCCAAGGGCCCTAACAAAGGGAACACATGTTCCTTTGAAATGTGCCCGTTTCGTCTTGTTAGCACTTTCTAAGATGTGATCTGAGGTGTGACATCTCCGGCATAAGGTAAGTCTCTTAGCACTTACCTCATGCCTTATTGGTACTAATGAACACAGTCCATTAAGTGTATCTATGTGGGGAGTCTCACTGATGGGAAGAATTATTTAGGGTAAGATCACTACAGCTTCCTGAGCTGCAGTACATACAGCCTGGAGAACACACCTTCCAACTCATGACACCTTGTGGGAACAACAGTCAAGAAAGGAGAGCCCAAGAGCTGGCTGGAAGTTCCCAGTGGGAGGACATGGTCATTGCAGCTTCCGGGAACTAGCCACTCCAAGGATAAGGCCCCTCATGGTGCCTGGTTCCTAAAATACAAACTGGCTGAAGTCGGCAAGAAAGGTGCCAGCAGCTGCTCCCACTGTGGCAAAGGAGCGTGCCCAGATGGTCCTTGGCCAGCAAAGCAAGAGTTTCTAGAATAAAGGCCAGCCCAGCCAGGATATGCTCTGTGTGAGCTTTGTCTGAGGACTGCCCTGCCTGGTCTCAAATAATTTTGGTGGGCCTATATTTTTGATAGTCTAAAAGATGCCTTTGAAAAAGGGAGGGGGGAGGCAGAGGTAATAAGGGTTGCTAAGGATGGAGTCATTGACCCAGAATGCACCAGGTTCCGGCTTCCATCTTCAGCGCTGTGAGCAAGCAATCAGGAACCTCTTGTCTTAAAAAAAAGTCTGACAACACCCAAGGTTGCTGAAGATTCAGGGAGGGACTTGCAGTGCAAACCATAGAGTGGTCACTCAGCCTACCTTTCTGGGATACCATCTGGCATGGAGTGGCAAGATTTAATGATGCAGATTATTTCACTCATATCTAGGACATCTTTTGCAAGGAGCTAGTGAACCAAAAAGCAGAAAGATGAATGGATAAGAGTGCTTACTGCAGCACTGTATCACGGGGAGCCTGAGGCGGGCAGAGCAGCCAGAGGAGGAAGGACCAGAAAATAAACACTGGTGCCCGATGGAAAATTCCACAGCATTCTCAGAGTATGGGAATGTTCATCAACTGACTCCAGAAGGCCTCCATCACATGGACTTAAAGCACATGCCAGGCCAGCTCTTGGATCCGAGGTTTCCACCCAGTGACACCTTAGGATCACTTGGAGAGCTTAAAAATTATGCAGACCTCAGACTCAGACTTGATCAGGGGTCCTGGGGGGGCAGAGCAGCTGCTTTTCATTAGGAGCCCAAGTGATTCTAATGGGTAGACGGACCACCCCGTCTTAGTGAGGTTCTGCTTTGTCTTTGTTTTGGAGAAAGGGTAGCACCGAGCCTCTTCCTGCCTCAGTTTCTAAGCAGATCTCATGAATTAGAGTAGTCAATAAAATGCTCAGAATGGCACTTGGTACATGGTTTTTTGGTTACTATTTGTGTTTTTTTGTTTGTTTTGTTGGGGGTTGTGTGTCTTGTTGTGTATCCCAGGCTAGCTTTGAACTCACAGCCCTCCTGCCTCCCCTCTCTGTGAGCTGTGGGAAAACAGGGATGTGCTGTCATACCTGACTATTGTTACTTTTAAAACACAACTGCTCAGGTGTTTGACCTTCCAGTTTTACAAGTAAATAGAACATTCCATTCAACCACTGGTTCTTAATAATCTCCCCCTCCCCTGGGGGGTGGTGGTGCACAGGTTTTTAGAATCAGACAGGAGACACACAGTATGTGATCCATTTGTTCCCTGTACTTCCCAGGCCCAAGGGGAGTCCAGGGCCTCAGAGAGGCCCCTCCAGGAGAAGCTGACAAGAACGGGTGGTGCTGCCAGCATACCAGGACTAGCCAGGTCCCTCCTCTGTCACCAGAGCCCCTTGAAGAGGCCTCCAGGTTTCCAAAGGTGACCTCTAGCATGACTCTACCTTCTCCTGTCCCTCAGCTGGACTAACACTAAATCCCTCCCAACGTCTCCACAGACACAGGCATCTGGTCTCAACTTTATGTAAGAAGAAAGCAGCTTGGATTACAGCCACACTGGGACTTTCCCATCTGCCCTGCATGGGGCTGCTGGCGCCCCTCCTACATATGCGTCTGGCTAGGGGTCAGGGGTGCAGAGGAAGCCGACTACATGTAGGTCTGACAAGGATATGGGTGGCTGTTTAGGAAGTGAGGGCTCACCCTGCTTCCCTGCCTACAGTAGAGGAGCAGGCTGCACCCCGGTCTTCCACACTTAGCCTTGCAAGGCTGTGTAAAGGGACCAGATCCTGAGCACGACTCACACTTGTGCCTGGCAACTGGGCAGATGTTGCTAAGTTTCAGTCTGTCATGGGCCACGTTCCAGCTGTGTGTCCTCAGGAAATGCCATTCTTTTGAGTCTCAGCTAACACCTATTCATCATGAAGGAGCTACAAGGGGTCTGACCTCACAGGGTAACACTAGGGACTGATGAGATAGTGTAGGCCGGAGGCAGAGTACAAGCTAGAGCTCAACACGTGACCCTGTCAGGTGATCAGTGCGCACCAGGACTGGGATTCAATTTTACCGATGGGCCCCTGAGGCATCTTTGGGAAATTGAGAAAGGTCATTTACTTAAGCTCCAGTGTGGGGCCCAGCCAGCTTCCTTTAAGCAATGTCCCAAGGGGCACCTGGCTAGCATCAACAGCAAGGCCTTTGGAGTACCGGTGACCACATCTCCCTCCATCCTACTGTGACCTCACCCCTGAGCAGAAACAGGTAGTCTTGGTCACCCAGACGTCACCCATTTGCTTTCTCTGTCTGACCCCAGAGAAGCTTGTGAACAATCAGCCAAGTATTAGGGATGTTAGTAGTGGATGGTGCCAAGCCTTCTGCCCTGGTGAGCAGTTCTGGGGCCCATTCTACACATGTCCTCAGAGGGGCTCTGCAGGACTCAGTGTGGCTGTCTGTAGCTAAGACAAGCCTATAAATACGGCCATTTTGGCAACCTGCCTTTGTGCTCTCCCTTTGGAGGCCACCACTAAAGTAACCCCTGTCCCTGGGTGTCTCAGACACACTTTATTTTATTTATTTATGTATTTATTTATTTATGTATGTATTTATTTATTTATTTCAAGACAGGGTTTCTCTGTGTAGCCTTGGCTGTCCTGGAACTCACTCTGTAGACCAAGCTGGCCTCAAACTTATAGAGATCTGCTTATCTCTGCCCCTCCCCCCCCCCAGTGCTGGGCTTAAAGGCATGTGTCACCAATGCCCGGCCAGACTCCACTTTCAAGAGACTTCCCCGAAGGCCCACAAGCTCCGTGCTCAGTGCCATCCATGCTCAGTGTCACCAGGGTCTGGTTCTCATTGTGTTACTGTCTGTGACACCTCTGCACAGCATGCCCTCTTGTTACTCTCATTTCACAAATTAGAAAAACTGAGGCTCGGAGAGGTCATGCAATCTACAGAAAAGTAGCTCAGCTGGAAGTGGGAGAGGCAGGGTTTGAACCCGGACATTTGACTTTGGGATCCAGTTTGAACATGCTGGATCCCATGGGGTGGAGGAAGGCAAGAGCCCTGTCGTGGTCTGCATCCATCTAGCACACGGCATAGGCGGCAAACTTAGATGCCTACAGGGAGCTAGGGAACTAATGTTGGGGAACAGCAGGGAGTGGTAGAGAGTGTGGCAAACAGAAAGTGTATTCCTAGATAAGGGCAGCCAAAAGTGTGTGGGAGGTGAGAGGCCTGGCCTCCCAGTGCCCACTGACTCACGTAGATCCAAAATACCCTGCAGCCATGTAGGAAGGCAGGTTTGTTTTATCGGTGGAGGGGGGTTGTTGCTGGGGACAGACCCAGGGCCTGTGCATGTGGGGCAAATACTCTATCACGGAGCTACCCACAACTTTTAAAAGCCAAGAAACTGGATGATTGTGGTGGTGGTGGTAAATTGTGTGTGCGCGCGCGCGTGTGTATGCAGGCAGGAGGACAACCTCAGGTATTGTTTCTTAGAAACCATCTCTTGTTTTTGGAGACTCTAGGGTCTAGGGCTCACAGATCAGTTCTGTCTGCCTTAATGTCTGCCTGCTTCTACCTCCGAGACACTGGCCCTGCCAGTTACAACAGGCCCTGCCATCACACCTGGCTTTTCTCTGGGTTCTAGAGAGTGAGCTCAATGCTCTTGCTCACTCTGACAACACCAACCAAGCCATCTCTCCAACCCCGCCCACCCCTTGAATTTTATAACAAATCAGTTGGCAACTGGCATGACGAAGAGGATAAGGAGCCAGTGTTAGCATGGGGCCATTCACTACTGTTGAGTCTGTTGCTGGGTCTGGGAGCATCTGCCCCAGCTGAGGCCTTTCAGGGACTGTCCCAGGCCCAGCAGTGACCGCTTTACCTGCATTATGTTCATCCATTGAGAAGGCCTTGTTCTCCATGTAGGCCCGAGGCAGGTGTATGTCCTCCTCAAATGCCGTCTCCCGCATCCTGGGCTGGGAAGTATCGAAGTAGTTGGGTGGGTTCTCCTGCAAGGGTGGGAGGAGGGTGCAGTGGATCTCCGGAATGGCGTAGAAGATGACAAAAACCCAGCCACTTGCTGCCAGTGTAATGGCCAAGGTGGGGTCGCTCCACGCATCTCCCTGCTTAACGATCGAGCTACTGAAGAGGTACATGGTCATCCAGACCACCCAGATGAGCACAGAGAGGAAGGTAGTGACGAGGATGAAGGCTCCGTTCACTTTCCACCGCCTGAACTTGCCACATAGCGTGAAGAGGGACTGGGCCAGGGTGATGGCCAGCAGCACCATGTCATAGATGAGTGCCATCACAAAATCCATGGGCTCGTAGGCGCAGGCTGGCTTCGTGTCACGCAGCACGGTCAGCACCAGCCACTCGGTGGCAATGATGACCTGCACCAACATCAGACACAGTGCCAGGCTCACCAGCTGCCAGCCGGCTGGGCTCGTGCCCTGGCGCACTAGCCTCCGCACCCGCCATGCCTGGCTTAACAGGCAGGAAAAGCAGAGTGCGAAGAGGACACCCCAGAGGAAGCGCCGGATGGAGCAGATTGTCTCATCCATGCGAATGATGAAGGCGAACGTCAGACCAAAGAGGCCCAGGGTCCCCAGCAGGAAGAGGAAGAGGAGGCACACAGGCCTCCTCTTTTCCTTGTCCTTGATGAAGGGCAGTCTCACCAAGAGGATGAGCATCAGGAGCAGCGTGATCAGGGCCCCAGCCCCGGCCACTGCCTCCACCACGATGCCCCAGATGGCGTCCAGGTCGCACAGGGACACGTACTGAGGGAGAAGGTCCAAGCCGCAGCCCCGGGATGTGCTGGCGTTCTCTGAAGCCACCGAGGCAATCACCAGGAGCAGGGGCAAGGGGAACACTTGATGGGTTCTCATCTTTCTCTCTGACACCAGGAACATTCTAGAAAATGGGGACAATTAGGGAGAAAGATCATTACACTGTATGGCCCTACTTTCCTGATTTCCCCAGGACTTGCCTCTTACCAAACCCGTAGCCCTCGAGGATCCTCCGGCCCTTGAGATAATAGCATCCACTTTCTCCAGGCAGTGTGGTCCCTTACCCAGTCTGGCACCCACTTGAATCCTGACCCAGATTAGTAACCATAAGCCACCATCAGCAGTGGCTGGAGGACCAATGGGAGGGAGACTCACCTCATCTCTCTAGCCCTTTGTAGTCTGTAAATCTGGCCTCTTCCAAAGTAAGGCAATGAGAGATGTTTTAAAGGGATAGCTACCAGCCAGGTGCTCGGCTGGGGTGACACCCCTTGTCTCCCCCTCTAACTCTCAAAGGCTAATGGGGAATATTTACTGACCACTCACTCTAGACCAAAAACTGGGCCCAGTCGGTCCTCATAATGCCCCATGAGCAGCAGGTCCTATTGTGACCTCCATTTTCAGGTGACAAAACAGGGTCTTCAGGCTGTGACACTCACCCCAGGTCACATAACCACACTGAGAGGAAGCCATCCCTCTCAACAGAGGGAGAAGCCTCTGCTCCCAGCCTTACACATTCTGTGGTCCCAGCTAAGTCTGCTGCAACCATTGGATAAAAGACTAGTGGAGAAAAAGATTCCGTTTGTTCTGAACACATGCAGACATTTTCCTGTTGTTACCTAAACATTACGTAGTAACAAGGGTTGACTTCGTATTAGGTATTGTAAGTGACCCAAAGTCCATCCACCCCCCCATAAGCATTTCCTGCAGATGTGTCTGTACACCCAGAAGGAGCTTTTCCACATTGTCTCCCCCACACATCCCATCATGCCCCTCTGGAGATCTCTTGAGGCTCCATTCTCTCCTGTTGTTCCTGTCCTGGGAGGCCTGAGAATTCACCTTGCCATACTCTCTTCTGTGTGCTCTAGATGCTCAATGACATCCTGACCCAGTCCCCTGCTAGGACACACCCCTATTATTTTCATTTTCATTTTCTGCTTTTATAGTTGAACCTAGCACCTCATGCACGCTAAGCAGCTGCTGGGCTCCATCCCTGACCCCTTTATGTTGTTTCTTTAATTTGAATTTTGAGGTAGTTATACTACTTTACCCCGGCTGGCCTTGAGCTCACCACAGCCCAGGCGGGGCTTGCACTGGTGACCTTCCTGCCTCAGCCTCTTGAGCAGGAGGATGTGTAGGCCGGTGTCACCAGACCTGGCCCTGCAGAGATACTTCACCCCCCCCAGCTCATCTGCAGAGCTGTCAGCTCAGACTCAGCCAAGGTCAGTGGAGCTCCCACAGCACAGGCAGGGTCTTGTGAGCTGAGTTCTAATCAAGTCTGCCGTTTTTTGTCTACTTTGTTTCTTTTCTCCTTCCCTTTCTCCTCTCCTCCCTTCTTGTTTTTGTGTCCAGCTGCAGGTGGAGAGGCAGAGACAGTATCTTTGACTCACATGTAGACCCAACCTTAAGTCACATCTGCCATCCGGGACAGTTTTTTGTTTGTTTTTTGTTTTCGTTTTTGTTTTTTTTGGGGGGGTCCTTGGGATGACCTATGCATTATATGATGTGTCTCACCAACCCTGCTTCTAAACACTGCCAAATAGCTCCTGGGTGAGGGGCACAATCCCCCCCCCCCACACACACCAAAGGCTTGCTGTTATATTGGCGGTGTGTTAGCACACAGTACCTGACACAAGTCAGGCACTTAGGAAACCCCCACAGAACAAGAGATTGGCACCTACACTGCCCTTTATCCCACTGACACCAGCTCCTTGCTTTGGAGAGAGGCTGGACCTTCAAAAAGCCACAATGCAAGCTGTGCCCCAGGTCATTACTAGTCATATTGAGTTAGTTTGGGGTTTTAATTCCACCTATGTGTAGGTCTGTAAGCAGCCATCCTCCCCACACCACAAAGCCAGGCATCCCTGGGGCTTCCATTAAGCAAATGCAGGATTGACCACCTCTCCTCCTCCTCTTCTTTACAGAGATCCCTTGCACCTCTTGGGTCCCTCCTTGGCCTCCAGACCATTGACTGCATAAATAATTGATGCTGTAGACAGTGGCTGGTGGGGTGGGGTGGTCTGCTATGATTACACAGAGAAGGCATGCTACGAACAGAAGGTACTTAAACAAGACCCGCCTACTCAGGTAAATGTGGGGTGGGGATGTTGACCATTGCCTTGCAGTCTAGTCATAATAGTGCCATGGAGGCTCCATCAGGGATTTCCTATGCAGCCATTTAACTGTCCTGACCATTGGCCACATGAACCCCAACAAATTAAAATACTTTTCCCTTGATGTTTCTACACTGTGCTGGGCTGCTCAGTCAGCAAAGGTGCTTGCTGCCAATGCTGCCAAGCCTGACAACCTTAGATCCCTGGGACCCACACAGCAGAAAGAAAGAGTCAACCCCACAAGCTTTGTGTGCATGCTGCGCATACGCACACCCAGGGAGCATGGCTACATGGTGCATTTTGGAGAGACATCATTCTGAACAGAACCACTTCTCAAGGCTGGGAAACATGCTATAAACCAAAATTTAAGAACTAGTTGGGACAGAGCAAGCTGCCATTGGCCCACAACAAGGTGGAGGGTCTCCAGAGTGCATTTTCCCCTTAAGAGTCATCGGTGGAAAAACCCCATTATTGGAGTTCTCAGCAACACATCCCAGCAATCTCTCTAGTTTATAGCCAATTCCATCTTCCCTTGAGAGTGAGGAAGTGATGTTTGGGAAGATGCTTCTGGAAGCTGGATCAATGCCTCTTCTCTGCCGTCTCTCACCTATATACCCTTTGATTGATGGTTCTCAACCAGAGGCAATTTTTGATGTCACAACAATAGGCATCTGTTGAATAGAGACCAGGCCTACAATGTGAATAGCAGCCTCCACCAAACAGAATGATGCTGGTCAAAAAGTTCACGGTGCCAAGGCTGAGGAAGGTGGGTTTTAGATATCAAAGTTAGAACTAGTGAGAGACACCAGGGAACCCACTAGGTCTCATGCCTGTACCTCACCAACCTTGCTTCCAAGAACTTGGATTTTTTTCAGGCGTGTCCAACCACTCTTTCTGGCAAAGCTCCTCCTTCCAAGCCTGGCTGTAACACGAGACTTGGTTTCCTCAGTTCTTCTTGCTTGTTTCCTATGTTTCCTGTCTACCCCAACCTGAATGAACACCACCAAGATGGGGCCCACACTTCTTAAACTGTACAGTGTTCTTGCAGTAGCTGGCCAGCACTCTAGTCTCTCCTTCCTTTCTGACACGGGAAATGGATCCTCTCATGCTATCTGCTGTTATGGCCACAGGTAATGCCCTTTTCTACTTCAGGGGCAGCTAAGGGTTTTGTCACAGCAGCTGTTTGCCTCATTTCTGGAAAGAGCTCCCAATTTCCTTTTGAAGTGTTACCTTAAGCCCTAGCTCCCAGCTTGGGTGGGTGGGGTCTGATATGAGTCAAGTGGGAAATGTCCCCAACTGGGTGGAGCTATTTTAAAGAGCAAGGGGTCTTTAGGAGGTGGGGCTTGGTGCAAGGAAGTAGGTACCTTTGGTAGCTAATAGCCAGGCTTTTAGATCTCACAGCCGAGTCCTGTTCTATGGCCATGAGAACTTTACACTACCACCACCATGTCAGCCCTGCCACGATGAAGTGAAGTCTCAAAAAACACGAAGCAAAATGCTCCTTTCATCTTTGTTTTGATCAGCTATTTTGTGTCAAGAAATGTAGCTGTGATGGTTAATATCAGCTTGATAGGCTCTAGACTCACCCAGGAGACAAGTCCCTGGACATGACCATGAGGACTTCCGCAGGAGACAAGCCCTGGGACACCACTATGAGGGATTATCTGGGCTAGGTTAACTGACCTGTGTAGATCCACACTAACAGGAGGACATACTGTGGCCGGGTGGGGTCCTAGATTACATAAGGAGAATGTGACCTGAGCATTGGTATTCATCTTCCTCTGCCTCTGACTGTGTCACCAGCAGCCTCAAGATCCTCTAGCCTTGACTGCTCTGCCTTTTCGACTGTACCCTCTAACTGTGACCCAAGGTAAATAAACCCTTTCCCCTCTTAAGTTCTTTTTTTTCAGGGTCTAGTCTCACAGCAGCAGCAGGAAAAGTACGTAAAGCTGTAGCTAAGGCAGCGCCAGCTCAGGCTTGTCCGATCTGGATACTGTCCTACTCTTTGGCTGAACTGATTGGTTCACAGAAAGGAACATGGTCTGAAACAGAGCAGTGAATTAGTAGGAGGGCTTGATATTAACTGGCAGGATGGCTTCTCTTTGTGATGGAACTGTTAAGTTTGAAGGTTCGAGTCTTGCCACGGAGAGGACAGATCTTTCTCTCAAAGAGATCCTGTCTGAGGGTAAGACTGACCCAGAGGATCAGCTAGGAATGAGCTTGAGTCCTGATCCACTGAAAGACAGCTGAATTCACCCATGCCTGGTACCAGCAACCACTTAACTACAGAGTTGGAATGAAACCACTTTGACCTGGGTTTCTGTCACTTGTCAACAAGTTCTCAAAACCTAGGAGGAATGACCTCCTCTTGATCCATATCTAGGCATATTGGTGAAACCAAGCATGGCCAGACACTGAAGGAGAGAGTCCAGCTGTCTCAAGCTGGTCATTATTGGCCTTAAGGATGACTATGGGGTGTGGCCACCCAATTCCACAGAGCTATGTATAGGATGAGGGGAAGGCCGCTGGTTCATCTAGGATTTCCAAGGGGTCCTATTTCTGTCACATTGACAACCATAGTAACTGCTCACCAGACTCCGTGACACATATGATAACATTCAAAAATCTGCCGAAGGGAGCTAGATAGCGCCTATAATCCTGGCATTTGGGAGGCTGGGACTAGAGGATCATAGCCAGCCTGGGCTATATGGTAACTTCTAGTCCAACCTGAGTTACCTATCACTGAGAAACCTTAACTCAAAAAACCAAATAAACAGAATCTACAGAATAATCCTAGAGGGAGTGCTAAGGCTGTCTCCATTTCACAGGAGATAATGCTGTGCAGTACAGGCAGAGGAGCTGCTTGGCCAAGGTCACATGCTGCCAGCAGAGCAGACAAGGTCTTATTGTTGCTGGGCTTTCTATAGACCGGAGCTTGTAGAAGAGTCACTGGTGACTTTTGCTGGATGACTTATCGCCAAGGGGTCCTCCCTGCCCCTACTCCACACTATGCCAGTACTTTTGCCCCCTGACTCTGTTGTATGGGTCATGAGCATGTGTGTGTGTGTGTGTGTGTGTACTGTTATCCTCTCCCAAGGAGACACCTCAGCCTAGGGTTGACTGTCCACATTTTTTGAGACGGGGCCTCTCACTGAACCTGGATCTCACTGAGTCTGTCCCACTGACTGTCTGGACGGCAAG